GAATGACCAGAGAGGCTGAGGAGAGCGCACTGAGCTAGTGTATCTGTATAGCACATGGAAGGCTCACCAGGAGAGCAGCGGGGGACAGGTGTTTAGGCTAGCCAAAGTACAGGCTTCCTGTTACAAGAAAAGGAAGGAATTTTTGTTTTTAACTCTGTAATGCTAGTAGTTACCACTGTAATTAGCTTGAGACAACTCAACAATGGGGTCCAATGTTCAGAAACAATAAACTATAAACACAGCGGACCATTACACAGACATGCCTCGCCCGGTCTATCCTGTCACCGACTTCTGGAACCTGTTCGGTTATTCAGCTTCAGATTTCCACTAAACACGACCCGTCAGTCATTTTACATCCAGGTTCTCATCTACTGCGGGGTGCCCGACGATGGGGGAGAGGGACGAAACTTGCTTATGTTAAGATACCCGGGCATTAATGCGGCTACCCGCTCGTATTTGAAGTCTAAAGTTCTGACCAAACTTAGCTATGCGGTTCTAAGCTTAAATTTAATCCAGCAGGTTCTAAATTTAATCCAGCAGTCGTGTGCGCCTCGGAGAACGTGAATACTGCTAGTGGTGAATACTAAACTTGTAATAACTGGCGAAGATATCCTCAAGAACACGAAGACGGGTCAAGTAATTACAGAACTCTACTATTTAATGACAGTTTAGGTAGCCCTTACAGGCAGGCCTGAAGGTGTGGTAAATGTGCATGCAACAATGTCAAGTTGAAGACTCGTCGCTGACTCCCCAACCCGCCCTCTTACAAATTACGTCGCTTGTCGCTCGTATGCGAACTCTGGCTTCAAAAAAATGTAATTGAAAATGAAAGTGGCTCACGAAAATGACATACTGTCCCGTTTTCTATTTTGGGTCCTCTGCGTAGGCTGTTACGTTAGGAGGAAAACTTTCAATTAACGGTTTTCATGACGTTTTGAAACCTTAGGAGAACTTGCTGCTCCCCTAACCTACCAGAAGATCCAAACTTTGCTGTTTTTAGACAAAAAATCCAAAATTTATTTTCACTTATTTTTCATTTCAAATTTTGGCCTTTTTGACCCTAGCGCATACGATCGAAAAGCGACGTAATTTGTAACAGGACGAGCTGCACACATGGACACTCTGGTGAAACCAAATTATGATTATTCATACTAGTACTTTCCAGTCTTTGAATGTGCAATATCATCCATCTTGGACATCGCACGCGCGCTCCTGTAAGATGAAAATATTTGTGAACAAAATGGTTTTGACATCGGATGGTCCGATGATTAAGAGGTCCCGCCTCTTAATCAAATAGTGAACAGGTTTCAGTCTATTAGGCTCTATCATATTTACATTTGAAACCGTGTATGGAGTCCACTTCCATCACATCACCGTCTAATGTAATACATTTGTTAACTACTCTGACACTGAAAAACTAATAATAATATTTCTAATATCTCTGTGGCTCAGATGAGTGCTAAGTTTCCACCTGTGTCCCCTTGTTTGTGTTCCACATATGGTAAATAGTTTATCTATTCACCCTGTTAATTCTTCTGAGAATTTTGGAGGTGATAATCATATCTTTCCCAACTCTTGTGTCTTCTAGTGACGTGAGGTTTAATTACAGTAGCCATTCCTCGTAACTCATACCTCTCACCTCCAGGACTATAGTGGTTTACCTCTGAACGTTCTATTACTTTGTCTTGTGTTTGACTAGGTACGGACTTCATGCTGGAGCCGCATACTCCAGGATTAGTCTGACATATGTAGTATTCAAGGTTCTAAATGATTGTTTACACAGGTTTCTATCCTTTTGATGTGGGCTTCAGGGAACAGGTTTGGTATAATAACAATCCTCACGCAGATCTCTCTATTGAAGGATTTCTTCTCCCATTTAGCACCTGGTGTCCGGCCTCCTGCTTCCTACCCATATTTTCATTACATTTACTCGACTTTCTTCCTCTGTCTTAATCCTTTTCATAATTTTACCATCGGCAAACATTGAGAGAAATGAGCCTATAACCTCTGGAAGATCGTTTACATGTATCAGCAACAGGATAGATCCGAGTACAGAACCTTTTGGTACTCCACTGGTGACATCTCGCCATTCTGAGGTCTTCCCTCCTCTCAGTAACATGATGTTATTTAGACTCTCCCTTGTCCACTGGAGCACCTTACCCACCAGCCTCTTCAACTTATGTACCAGCCTCTAATGTGATACTGTGTCAAAGGCTTTCTGACAGTCCAAGAAAATACAGACTGTTCACCCTTATCTTTCTTGCTTAAATTTTGTCACTTTATCAAAGCATTCTATTAAACCTGTGAGGCAAGATTTACCATCTCTGGTCTCTTAACTATTTTTTTCCATCAACTTCCATGGTAAAGAAGCTAGGGACACCAGCCTGTAGTTCAGTGTCTCCTGCTTGTTACCATTTTTGGATATTGGGACTACGTTAGCCGTCTTTCTATTTCTGGTAGGTCTCGTGTTTTCAGTGACCTGTTATACACCAGAGTGAGACACGCATAGTGCTTCTGCATTCTCTTTAGTATCCGTGGTGAAATTCTGTCAGGTTCAACACCCTTTGTCACTTCCAGTTCCAGCAGATACCTCTTGACCTCATCAATGGCAATATCAAATTCTTTCAAGGCTGCTTGGTTTACCGCCTCGTCTCTCAGTTCAGTTCAGTTCTATTGTGAAGACCACCTGGTATTGTAAAGTTCTTCACACACCTTCTCATTCTCTGTGTACCTGTCCTCACTCTTTCTCAGTTTCATAACCTAGTCTTCCACTGTTGTTTTCCTCCTGATATGGCCGTGAAGCAGTTTTGGTTGGGTCTTGACTTTACGTGCTGACATTTTTTATTGTCTCAGCTTCTCTTGTCACACCGAGGTACTCATTCCTGATCCTCTAGCACCTCCCTCTGCTATCTGCTGATTTTATTTCTGTAGTTTCTCAGTGTCCTTGAACTTAATTACCAGAAAATTGGTCCTGTGTGTTATAGTGTACTGTTAGCTAATTCTGTTACAACTAGTTCTGTTAGTGTAGAGTTCAACCAATGTTTAGCCTGAAACTGGTGTTATGTAAATGTTGTTTGTAATAACTCTACAGGTTGCTGTAGTGCGTCCTGTTGACGACTGTCACGAACCATCAATGTAAACATTATGTTCGTGAGACCTGAAACTATTGATAAGAGGCAATTGTTTCAAGCGCGATGGCGTTGAGAATAGCATAATTCCCATCACCCTTCTTGATGTTGGCTGTGTATGCTGCTTAGATGGTGGGGTGCAGATGAAGATTAAGCCACCCAAGAGGTAGCACGGACATGAATAGCCCGTAATGGGGTGCACATATGTTGGGATGTCTGTATAGGAACGCAGGACAGGGTTACATGCCCGTACTGCCACCTCTTGGGTGGCTTAATCTTCATCAATCAATCGGGTCGGACCTGGGTCGTCCGGCTTGCGAGAAGATCGCTCTAACCACTACACAACACGGTACCCTCAATCTTTATTTCACATTATTTGATTAAAAAAATCTGATCTTCGTTTTTTTATATATAAAGTCATTCAAGCCTAACGTTATCCTTAATGAAGCCTATGATGCGGATTTCTTCAACACTCGGTGCTATTAGGTAGGAAACGCTCTGATTAGTTTATTTTCCCCGGCGTCATCGTATCTTTGTGAAAACTGTGATCCAGCGAGGTGCCACACTGATGACTCATGGTGTACAAAGAGAAACTATTGCATCGTGTTCGCTAAATTTTGTCTATTTTTCAGAGGGAGAAAGTGAAGACTGTAGAAGGCAAGATAACGTTTTAAAAATACAGCGAATAACAGGGACCACACAACGCACCACCAAGTGCTCTGAGTGTGAGCGAGCGAGCCAGCGAGCGATCTATCGATCATACATGGAGCTGGATCGGGATCGACCGACCGACCGACACTTTTTCCACAGAAGTGGGCATACTTTATACAATGCTAACCAGCATATATTCCTTTTCTCCTGTTCCCCGTGGACATGACAAGGCATTTGCTGTTACATTATAGCACAGTTGGTTACTGGCGTGTGTGCTGGAGATCCATTACCTGCCCTCACATTCTGCCTCTTCACGCCAACATTGCGCTCATCAACTTTCCTTCTATATGCGTGGGAATTTGTCTGGGTCGAGATCCATAATATATATTTATCTTGCGGGAGATTCATTCCCTCCCACTCATCCTTAACTTCGCCTTACTGGTTCAGACGCACTAGTTCTAAGCTTCGCGACATCTGTTGACCCGCTGTAAGTTTAGAATTTAAAAATTAACTTGTTTTTCTTGTTTAAAAATGTCAGGGAATACGATTTCTCGACGATGGTTGGAAGATCATTTTTCTCAGCCCAAACCTGGCTTCCTCTCACGTCTTGGGCTAACCAAAATTTTGTGCCAGGTGCCTCTAATGTTGGTTTGATCAAACTATGAATATTTGCAACTCTCAAGCAAATAATGTCACTACCTGAAAGTTTGCAGTGTATTGTTAAGCAATTATCGTACAGCATAAAGTAAGAGATGCATATGACTCGCGAGGAACAACTGGATAACGATTAAGATAAAAAAAAAATACGTCCATCACAAGTTTTCTACACTTGAATCAGAATGATGATGTAGTCTAGTGAGGTGGATGTCATTTCGTCAGCTGTGTGACACTGGCTTCTGGTTGTCGTGAGGTGCGCCAAGTGTGAGCGAGGAGTGACGACGGTCGTTGACACGACAACCGTGACGGTCGGCGCTAGTGGTCAAGACAGAAGAATTAGCACCCGTCGCCCGCTACAAGGACAGGCTGCGACAGGGCACAGTGCACCTGGAGACGTGGGTGGCGGGGGAGGAGGGAAGCATGCACGTGACGGGAAAGAGGGAGGGAGGGCGGAGGAGGCACACGTGTGACGGAAAGAGAATGAAAGGCGTGACTGGAGCACATAAAAGTGTGGTGTGATGGCCACCTCGGGCTCACTACGCGGCAAGTTCCGGAATGAGACAGTCCTCCCAGTCACATAACGCTCTTACCTACACTATCTATGAATTAACAGCTGCAGTGGAGATAGACTTTTGTTGATGTTGTGCTAGAGTGTGTGTGTAGTGCAGGACGAAGTTTGTGTGGCGGTGAAGACAATGGGTCACACACAGACCATGTGCTGGCTGGCTGCGGTGTGTACAATTATAGCAGCGGACGACGCCTTGCATATCAGTGTCACAAGCCCCCCAGAAACAGTGTCCCCGGCGGACACTGAGCCACGTCTGCTGAGGAGAGTACTGGACCCGCCGGGAATCAGTGCGCCGCGGACGGAGCACCGGGCATCACCTGACGGGTCGGTGGTGCTGGTGGAGAGTGAGGGAGGGCGGCAGGCGTCTCTTATAGAGGAAGACGGCAACATACAGTACTCGTCTCTCAACAAGGTAAGGCGCGACTCTGCTGGCCCCGCCATTGTTACACGACCGAAGGTAGCGAATATCACAAGTTGCCTTAAAAGTGATCCCGTGTCTTGCTTCAAAGTCTCCCGATTGGCAAGGTAGGAAAGACTGAATTATTGAGGAACCTTAACCTCCAAGAAAATTAAAGGTATATCGGGGAGCCTCGTAGGTCTCCATGCATGCACTTGTGTGTTGCCTTGTACCACCACCCCCTAGTTATGTTACCGTATTGGGTGCTTAATTATACAAACGGATTGTCTACACATAAGCAACAAATTAAAATGTTAAAGGCTGTAGAGCTCCTCTGTTCTCTAGCAGGACCCGATGATGCTGCGAGCATTTTACCTCAGCATCGCTACACTGATGTACAGTGTGAGGACGCTGGCTGTCCTCGGGCATCTTGGTTCCCCCGCCAGGAGTCTCGGACCTGACACATGTGTAGCTCTTATGACAACAATGTTCCCCGCTTGTAAACAGATTTCTTCCGACCAACATAACTACTTCAAATATTTAGTCAGTGTCGATAGACAATACCAAGGCCTTTATCAACGTCGTATTGGCCACACTGGTGTATGTTAGACGATAACAATACAGACTCCAAGTTCCTTACCTACCACAAGTAACATGTAGTGACTCAACACACGCTCTCCCGTCACGTGGACGCTGCCATATTATTTCCTGCCTCTTAGATTTTCACGAGCAAAAACTGCTTCAAATACGACCCCTCGAACCAGTTCATTGCTGGTTGCGAGGTGCTGACCGGTTATTACGTCTCCTCTCCCGCTCTGAGCACACACTTTACGTGTAGCCACGCGGGCTGTGATGGTCAGTGTTCTGCACGGTCATCAGTAGTATTGTGGTGTTCACTAAGTACAAATGCCCACTACCCGTAAACGATGATCGTAACTATTGCGGTAATCAGTACGTGTAAGCTGTGAAATTACTATTATTGTGGCCATTACTGTTGTGGTCATCACTTCCCGCCAGCGCTGATTATTACTGGTGTTCACGCGGTGTTGCCATCACCAGCATCATCTTTTCCAACACTCTGACGAGCTGATCATAGCCTTCAAACCCCCTGTCGAGCTGATCACAGCCTCCAAACACCCTGTCGAGCTGATCATAGCCTTCAAACCCCCTGTCGAGCTGATCACAGCCTCCAAACACCCTGTCGAGCTGATCACAGCCTTCAAACCCCCTGTCGAGCTGATCACAGCCTCCAAACACCCTGTCGAGCTGATCATAGCCTTCAAACCCCCTGTCGAGCTGATCACAGCCTCCAAACACCCTGTCGAGCTGATCATAGCCTTCAAACCCCCTGTCGAGCTGATCACAGCCTCCAAACACCCTGTCGAGCTGATCACAGCCTTCAAACCCCCTGTCGAGCTGATCACAGCCTCCAAACACCCTGTCGAGCTGATCATAGCCTTCAAACCCCCTGTCGAGCTGATCACAGCCTCCAAACACCCTGTCGAGCTGATCATAGCCTTCAAACCCCCTGTCGAGCTGATCACAGCCTCCAAACACCCTGTCGAGCTGATCATAGCCTTCAAACCCCCTGTCGAGCTGATCACAGCCTCCAAACACCCTGTCGAGCTGATCACAGCCTCCAAACACCCTGTCGAGCTGATCACAGCCTCCAAACACCCTGTCGAGCTGATCACAGCCTCCAAACACCCTGTCGAGCTGATCACAGCCTTCAAACCCCCTGTCGAGCTGATCACAGCCTCCAAACACCCTGTCGAGCTGATCATAGCCTTCAAACCCCCTGTCGAGCTGATCACAGCCTCCAAACACCCTGTCGAGCTGATCATAGCCTTCAAACCCCCTGTCGAGCTGATCACAGCCTCCAAACACCCTGTCGAGCTGATCACAGCCTTCAAACCCCCTGTCGAGCTGATCACAGCCTCCAAACACCCTGTCGAGCTGATCATAGCCTTCAAACCCCCTGTCGAGCTGATCACAGCCTCCAAACACCCTGTCGAGCTGATCATAGCCTTCAAACCCCCTGTCGAGCTGATCACAGCCTCCAAACACCCTGTCGAGCTGATCATAGCCTTCAAACCCCCTGTCGAGCTGATCACAGCCTCCAAACACCCTGTCGAGCTGATCACAGCCTCCAAACACCCTGTCGAGCTGATCACAGCCTCCAAACACCCTGTCGAGCTGATCACAGCCTCCAAACACCCTGTCGAGCTGATCATAGCCTTCAAACCCCCTGTCGAGCTGATCACAGCCTCCAAACACCCTGTCGAGCTGATCACAGCCTCCAAACACCCTGTCGAGCTGATCATAGCCTTCAAACCCCCTGTCGAGCTGATCACAGCCTCCAAACCCCCTGTCGAGCTGATCACAGCCTTCAAACACCCCTTGTCGAGCTGATCACAGCCTTCAAACCCCCTGTCGAGCTGATCACAGCCTCCAAACCCCCTGTCGAGCTGATCACAGCCTTCAAACACCCCTTGTCGAGCTGATCACAGCCTTCAAACCCCCTGTCGAGCTGATCACAGCCTCCAAACCCCCTGTCGAGCTGATCACAGCCTTCAAACACCCCTTGTCGAGCTGATCACAGCCTTCAAACCCCCTGTCGAGCTGATCACAGCCTCCAAACCCCCTGTCGAGCTGATCACAGCCTTCAAACACCCCTTGTCGAGCTGATCACAGCCTTCAAACCCCCTGTCGAGCTGATCACAGCCTCCAAACCCCCTGTCGAGCTGATCACAGCCTCCAAACCCCCTGTCGAGCTGATCACAGCCTCCAAACCCCCTGTCGAGCTGATCACAGCCTCCAAACCCCCTGTCGAGCTGATCACAGCCTCCAAACCCCCTGTCGAGCTGATCACAGCCTCCAAACCCTCTGTCGAGCTGATCACAGTCTCCAAACCCCCTATCGAGCTGATCACAGCCTCCAAACCCCCTGTCGAGCTGATCACAGCCTCCAAACCCCCTGTCGAGCTGATCACAGTCTCCAAACCCCCTGTCGAGCTGATCACTGCCTCCAAACCCCCTGTCGAGCTGATCACAGCCTTCAAACACCCCTTGTCGAGCTGATCACAGCCTTCAAACCCCCTTGTCGAGCTGATCACAGCCTTCAAACCCCCTGTCGAGCTAATCACAGCCTCCAAACACCCTGTCGAGCTGATCATAGCCTCGAAACCCCCTATCGAGCTGATCACAGCCTTTAAATCCCCTGTCGAGCTGATCACAGCCGCCAAACACCCTGTCGAGCTGATCACAGCCTCCAAACACCCTGTCGAGCTGATCACAGCCTTCAACCCCCCTGTCGAGCTGATCACAGCCTTCAAACACCCCTTGTCGAGCTGATCACAGCCTCCAAACCCTCTGTCGAGCTGACTACAATCAACAAACCCTCTGTCGAGCTGATCACAGTCTCCAAACCCATTGTTGGGCTTGACCATAGCCTTCAAACCCATTGTCGAGCTGACCACAGCCTCCAAACCCCTAGTCGAGCTCATCACAGCCTCCAAACTCCTTGTCGAGCTCATCACAGCCTCCAAACCCCTTGTCGAGCTCATCACAGCCTCCAAACTCTATGTCGAGCTGACCACAGTCTCCAAGCCCCTTGTCGAGCTGACCACAGCCTCCAAATCCTTTGTCGAGCTGATCACAGCCTCCAAACCCCCAGTCGAGCTCATCACAGCCTTCAATTCCCCTGTTGAGCTGATCGCAGCCTCCAAACCCCCAGTCGAGCTGTTCACAGCCTCCAAACCTCCTGTCGAGCTGATCACAGCCTCCAAACCCCAGTCGAGCTGATCACAGCTTCCAAACCCCCTGTCGAACTGATCACAGTCTCCAAACCCCCAGTCGAGCTGATCACAGCCTCCAAACCCCCAGTCGAGCTGATCACAGCCTCCAAACCCCCAGTCGAGCTGATCACAGCCTCTAAAATCCCTGTCGAGCTGATCACAGCATCCAAACCTCCTGTCGAGCTGATCACAGCCTCCAAACCCCCTGTCGAACTGATCACAGTCTCCAAACCCCCAGTCGAGCTGATCACAGTCTCCAAACCCCCAGTCGAGCTGATCACAGCCTCCAAACCCCCAGTCGAGCTGATCACAGCCTCCAAACCCCCAGTCGAGCTGATCACAGCCTCTAAAATCCCTGTCGAGCTGATCACAGCATCCAAACACCCTGTCGAGCTGATCACAGCCTCCATACCTCCTGTCGAGCTGATCACAGCCTCCAAACCCACAGTCGAGCTGATCACAGCCTCCAAACCCTCTGTCGAGCTGACCACAGCCTCCAAATCTCCTTTCGAGCTGATCACAGCCTCCAAACCCCCCTTGTCGAGCTGATCACAGCCTCCAAAGGCTCGCAACCCGTTCTCGCACTTGCTTATAGTCAATATTGGCTTATTAATAAGTGCATATGTGACATACTAATTTATTGTGAATATTTGAGTTTACCTTGAAAAGCTGAATAGAAAACACCGACCTAACCTAACCTTCTTAGTATGTTAAGATAAGCATCTTATTGCTTCTTAATTACAATTAGTACTTAACCTATACCTATATTGATATTACAGTTTTATAAAAATAATAAAACAAAACCAAAATATTTAAATAAATTGTAAAGTAACTCAGGATATTGTCAAATATTGTATAAAATCTCTATTGTTTAATAAAACTGAAAAAGAAATTCCTAATATTAAAACTGGTGTTTAGCAAATCTATAGGAAGAGTTTGTACCTTAAAAACAAAATATAACTTGGCATATACCACATATGTACTTATTAATCAGCCAAATAGTGACTATAAGCAATAAGTCATATATGTACTGTCTTGTGCGAGAGCGGGTTGCCTATACCAGACACAAACCGTACCTCAGGGAGACAGGAATGCTACTGTGGAGGGGACCACCACAACCCAGCTCTCATTTGCTGAAATGCTTAAAAAGAGCCCTGAAGCTAGGTCTGCAGGTAAGGAAGTTGCCATGGAAGTGGCTTCCTCTCAGGAAGCAGCTAGA